AAGAAGGTATGGAATAACCAAGTTAAATCTTCCAGTCATACCTTCAGTTCAACCATCAAATAACTCAAACAGCTGGAAAATTAAACTGGTATTCATGCTGTTCCATACGAAGACATATCGGTCAAGTCGCAGGATGTAGTGCTATGGATTTCTGTGCGATGTGACTGCCCCCCCCCCCAGTGGCACAGCGGTATGTTTGTGGACATACAATGCTATAAACCGGGTATCGATACCCGTGGTGGGCAGAGCATATATAGCCCATTGTGTAGCTTTGTGCTTAATTTCAAACAAACAAGTGATGTGACTGTTTAAACAGTGCTGGAAAACGGCAATCCTAGTACACTAGATGTAATATGGAAATCATTAGGGAAGAGTTGTATGCTTCGGACATGACAGTCTTAAAACAAAGTATTTTGCAATGGAATCTATACTGCATGGATATTGTGAATATGCATACCTGTCATGTACAAACACGTGTAATGGCTTGAATGCATTGATTCATAGTTGGGCCCTTTGCTGTTATCAATATTTTTGGCTATAATCCCAATAATATTTCACGAGATATTAAATTTAGTCTAATACTAAATTAATATACTACTCTGAAAGTGCAAAATAATCTTCATTATAAGAAATTCAATAAATATATGAAAATATTAAACAAAATAAATTTATTGTACATATTACACATTTTAACCAATACTGATAATTAAACTATTATTAAACAAACAGTGAAATGTATTTTTTCTCTCAAGACTTGAAGACTATTCTTTCTTTCTTTGCTCCTTCAGAAACTTCACATAATCATCCTTTGAAAACACCTAGTGAACGATGAAAAACCATTAAATGGCTCCTATAGCGTAATTTCAGAGTAGCTTGACATCTGACGTAAGCTACGATGACAAATGTTACTGTTTAGCTATAGAATCTGGTAGAATGACAATACAGATGATATAGAACAAAACTAATATTTATGTATCTAAAAAAACAACAAATTAAATGGATAACAGAATCGAGAACAATAAGTAACAAAAATATCAATATCTTAGTACAAAAATAAAAAACCTGTTTAACATACTAAGAGCTATGAGTATACACAAGTAATTTAATATGTCCAAATCTTTCCTTGCACACGAAGTAAACTTAAATAGCGGAAAGAAGGAAGTAATTATTAAAGTTTAACCCTAAGAATACAGGAAAGATCACAATAATGATATCTAATCAAATACACCTTAGGTGCGAAAAAAAAGGTGCGGCCAAAAAAGGATTGAGCGTGTGACTTAAAGGAATGAAAATTGCCGGCCAAACTGGTAGCTACACTTATAACACTGATAAGAACTTTACAGCAAATATTCATTCATTATTTAACCAGGCCGCATTTTTTTGTTAAACTTGGGGCATGATAATGGGTAAAACAAAAAGCACGGCATAGTTAACTAATGAATGAATTAGACCATTTGTAATTCCAAAAGGCAAATACTTTTTCTTACCTTTAGTCCATTGTCTCAACTTTTCGACACAAACGGTGCAAACTTTGTGTGGAGCCCATGATTTGTCTTGGTCCCCAAGTTTTATTCCAAAACTTGCGTAATACGCTTTTTGACGAATTCTGTAATGTTTTGCCTTTGTTTCTTTACAAGGAATTTACTACAAATATAATAGAATATGTTTAGGTCATTTACACAACCTCTTGTTGCCATAGCAACGAATAAATAATATTGAGAAGAAAAAAAATAATGTCAAAGTGCACGCGGAAACAAATACTATCTAGAAATGACACGTCATGTGGCCTGTTAACGTTTATATACTAGCGGTGTGTTTCTCATGTGTTCTAGAACGATTCTCACGTTGCGATTGGTCTAGAAAAAATCTATAGGCAGTATTAGCCAACATTTTAAGCATATAAAATGTGACCCATTTTCAATTAAAATGATTCACTTATGTAAAAGTACATATGACGTTTTGTGAAAACTCTGTACGTGATAGAGAAAAACGGATATCATTTTAGGATTCAGCTTTCACGAATTACTGAAAAAATTTCAAGACAATGAAACCATCGAAGGCCTGTGTGATCATCCAAAAATAGATGTTCTTGTTATTTCTGCATTAAACGTTAGCCAACTTGTACAAGTGTGTTCGCAAGTAAAAATGTTACAGCTGAGCAACAATATAATAAAACATATTCTTTTCTAACACAAAGCATTAATTTATAGAATTATTTAAAAAATCTTAATAATGCTGATGAAAGCCTCTTTTTAATTTTGTCAATTCGAAGATCAGTATCAATATGATTAATATCAAGAATTTCAGTTGTTTTTGCCGATGAATTTATTAATACTAGTTCTTTATTTGATAATATTACAGTATTTGTTTGAATACATTTTAACGTATTTCAGGCTTTGCTGACTAGAATTAATAAATTCTCTAGCTGTAGTGTTTCAGTACCAACAATAAACCTGTTGTTGTATGGTGGTTTAATAGGTTTGGGAATTAACAATAACTTATGTATTACGTTATAAATCTTTTCAGAATGGACAACAAAGCCTAATAAAACTGCAATATATTTCGGAATGATACTCTCCATCTGATTCAACATGCTCAAACACCATGTAACAGTTGTGTATTTAATTTTGCAAATAAAGTTAGCGTATTTTATTGTACGAATCATTTTCAGTCTATAGAGTTGATAGCCAAGATTACTAGATAAAAATCTGGCGTATGAATTTTTTAATTATATGATTATATAATTATAATTTTTTTGTTCTCACACTGAAATACTGGGTCTTGAATAACTTCTAAGATTCTATTGATCGATAGTTTATGTAACATTATATCACAATAAGGTGATTATATTTTTTACTGGCTCTATACTACGGTTTTCCAAGTATTAATAACATAGTACAATATCAACCACATAACTTATTCGTACTTCCTAAATTATAGTATGGATGCAAAGCTTTCTACGTTTTGAAACAAGTTGGATGAATGTGTTCATAAATGTCAAAATGAGAAGGAAGTGATACATATATTTATCACACGCCATTTTCAATAACATAAATTACAAAAAGTAAAGGATTTATATATTTACAAACCCATATTATTCCTCAATTTCTTAATGATGGCACAAAATATTGTTACATGTTATAATTGTCTTTGTAGATTAATCTACACAATATATTCTTCAAGCTAATTAAGATATAAAGGATGTCGACACTTAAAGTTAATTCACATTTTATTTTCAGATTTAACTTTTAGTCTAACTAGAAAATAAGCTACTAAATAAATGTCAAAGTTAAAGATAATTATCATATCAAATCTTTGCATTCTATCACATAAAGAAGATTCAGAATTATATATATTTATACAAGTATTTGTTTTCTTTTCTAGACAGAAAACGTCCAATAAAGTAAATTTCTTTGTTGATTCTATCCTTACAGAACTTACGTATTGTGCTTCAATTTTATTTCATTTTAGCCATTTGTTTGGAAGACAAAAAGAGACACTTTTTATGGTAATGTTGAAAGCCTGAAACTGTACCCTAAAGCACGTCCATTCTAAAGGAGACTTGTCATTAGGGCTCTGTCTTGTGAAGCCCCATTTATAATGTCATCCGTCTTCTTTGACGGCTCCAGTCAGTTCGAAAAAAAACAAACAACAACATATGACGTTAAGAAAAATGTTCCTGGCTGGCTATTCAGTTACGGTATGTAAAAAAATTAACGTTAGAAGACAGAAAATGTTAAATGTTTTCAATTTACATAAAAATTGGAAATTTTCCATTATTATCTGATAACATTGAAGTGAAGGTAGTCTATTGGCATTGAATATAACATTTCGGATTCATTTTTTATATTCGATTTCAGGGTTGTATAAATGCTGCCTTATTTAAAAAATGATAGATAACTAGTTACTTTTATCCACTCTTTTGAAACTATAAACAAGAAATAAAAACCGCAAATACATTTTCTTGCAGATGAAACAGTGTTTTTTTAAAGATCACTGCTTACAAACCTTAACGAAGAATTAACAAGTAATAAAACTATCTGTTGAAGTATATTAGTGAGACTATCACATAGTTTCCATGTGTAAACCAACTTTTCTTATTTTTCAACAGTTTACTACATCAAAGCATTTTGACTTGGAATGTTTATTTGTAATCAAGCAAAAAGTTACACAATGGGCTATCTGTGCCCTCCTCATCACTTGTATCGAAACCCCGTTTCTATCGTTGTAAGCCCGCAGACATACCACTGTGCCACTGAGAGCGTAGGCTTAGAATGTACTAACACGTTTATAATTTGCTTATAATATTAACATAATCGTTTTAACAGAGATAATTTCAGATATTTTCGTATTAGATACCACAAAATAGCAGTTATATTATTATTGTTCAGCATTCATAGTACAAATGAACAATTTATATATTTTCTAACATCTTCCTTGAAATGATCAACCAAATAAGTGTATTTCCTTACCTCTGCAGCTGTTTTCTTTATGAATTGTTATATTCGTATGAAAATGGTATATGTAATTAAACATGTTTCCTGCAAACTTAGGGTCCATGCAAATGCTTTCTCTATGAATCACTCTTAGTAGGAAAGTGATTAATATAATTATGTGATTTGGTTTGACTGTTAAGGACTCTCTAGTTGTTTTCTATATGAATAATTACAGGTGTAAAAAGAATCAACAGAACTATTTATATTTCCTTGAATATTAAGGATATTGTTGTTGTTTTCTTTATGAATTATTACAGGTAAGAAAATAATCAAAAGAACTATATATTTTTCCTTGAATGTAAAAGAATCTGTAGTTGTTTTCTATGTGAAGACTTATATTTAATTATACAGTAGAGTAAAGAGTATTTTGAATGTTTAGTTTTGGGTAGTAATGTATTTATAATTAGCTTTATGTATACTTTTATGTATATATATGAACTTAAAAGAAGTATGAAAAACAAACTTTAAATAAATTTCAACAAATATTTATTTAACCGACATTATTTGTAGTAAACTTCAATTTTTACAAGAAAGAATTGAGTAACTGCTAGTTTTGCTAGTAAAAAAAGAATAATCCACAAACTCAATATTAAAACACTCTACCAGACATAAACCAAACAAACCAAACTATGAGGTGATGGGTTTGTAGCCTTAAGAACACGAAGTTTAACAGTGAGCATTTATACATATGAGCACCTTTGTGGTGTAAATTACACATATACAAACTCTAGAGTAAATACTTACACGAATCGTGAGGAGCTAAAATACAGTGTGAATGTACAAATATTGTTATGATAACTTTTCAATCTATAGACAAAACATATTTTTCTATTAAAAACTATGCCATAAATATTGATGACAAAAGTAAGATATTCATTGAACCATTATTTAAGTAATTTTGTAATAATTAATATTCATCAATAAATTATTCCTCGAAATCCAGCATATAAGCCATACAGTTTCACACACATTTAATGCTTATTTCAATAGCGTAATACCTATAGCAGATTTCCCAAGTAATAATTCAGCTGACATTCGAGCACAAAATAATAACCTACGTATTATATATGTGCAAGATGACAACCACCAAATATATACTTTATTTACATATTCTCCCACTTTCATTTTCTTGTGAAGCTTAGAAGTGAAAGCTCATTTTACATTAATATTTTGAACGTATGCATATAAACATGCGAACATACATAAACGTATATATATTAAATATATCTGTGTGCACGTGTGTCCATGTACCTCGAAGGTATAGGCATGTATAGAAGCATTTTTTTTACATATAATGAAAACAATTAGGAAGCATAAGAAGAATAAAATCTTTACTGTTTACAATTAATTAACGTAATAGCTTTCCTCGCATATGTTCATACTAGAAATCATATTAATTTAGTTAAACATATGAATGTATAAACGTCCAGGAATGTGTTTGTTCAGACTCACGTCTCTGTATATATATAACAGTTTAGTCTAACTTAAATAATATACTTCAAATTTCTCCATATTCATCAAGCACATACTCCCTCGTACGCCATCATCACAGTCGTTCCTTATGTACAGAGTTATGAGAAGTTTTAATTTGACAGAAACCTTTTAGTCACCTAATAGTATCAAAAGAAAAAGTATATTTAAAGCTCTCCGAAAGAGAAATATAAGGTAGCTGTTTTTTGAGAAATTGACAAAGAGGGTATGGGAACTTAAAACAATGGTTAATATGATACAACTAGAGAATGATGACCTTTATATTTCAGCCTAGACAAAATACTCAGACACCTCTTTTCTTGGTAATGGCGTCAGTTTATTCTTTACATTTTTCATTTTTCAACATTACTGTATTAAAGCTGGGAAGTATTGAGGGTTTTTGTTGGAAATGCAGTACAAATACACACGAGACCTTTCTTTGATATTCTAAACACGCATGTAGTGGCTAGCTTTCTCTTTAGTTTGTCAATATCAGTAGTCTCAGTGCGATAGTCAAATGGTGAGATCGTCTTGTAGCCACTACACCAGAGCGTGGGCTTCCTGCCACTGCTTCTTTAAGTACACGTCCAATGAAGTCGTCATCACCGTTGCTGAGTGAGCAGAAGGGCGGTTAAAATTCCGATCAATAGACTTTTTGTGGGTAATAATCCTTTAGCGTAAGATGTATGCTTCCCATGCTGCATTGCAGCTGGATTTTCTCCTAGAAGAAAATATAAGATAGAAGTGAAAGATATCTATACTGTAGATAACTGAGTATCATGAAACTATAAAATTATGTACAATTTAGATAACTGAGTATCATGAAACTATAATATTATGTACATTGTAGATAACTGAGTGTCATGAAACTATAATATTATGTACATTGTAGATAACTGAGTATCATGAAACTATAATATTATGTACATTGTAGATAACTGAGTATCATGAAACTATAAAATTATGTACATTGTAAATAACTGAGTATCATGAAACTATAATATTATGTACATTGTAGATAACTGAATATCATGAAACTATAATATTATGTACATTGTAGATAACTGAGTATCATGAAACCATAAATATTATGTACATTGTAGATAATTGAGTATCATGAAACTATAATATTATGTAAATTGTAGATAACTGAGTATCATGAAACTATAACTGTGAGAAATAGTGATATAAAGTTAAGTCTTAAGCACATTTCATGCCTTGATAAGTACAACTGGAAATACTATCAATAACTGATTATTTGTACAATCTTACATACTTTCTGTGAATGTCTGGATAAATTATGAATACACACACGCGCACGCACACACACACATGCATAATTATTATATCTAAAAAATTACGTCCTCCGAACCAAACAAGCAAATACTTCCTCTCAACAATAAAATATTGAGGATTTGAATTACATACATGTCACTGTGCAGGATATCACGAGAATCAATGAGCACTGTCCAGAACAGATGATGCCCGCAGCATCGTTTACAGTAAAGCTTACTAGAAGTGGCGAAAATTATATCTGACACCTACTGTAACAGTTGTTTTTCAACATAGTTGTTAACTTTTTTTATTCAGACCTTTTTTTAAGGATTCTACGGAGTCAAAAGTCAAACAACCCCAAAATGTTATTTTGGACTTCTGTGCAGTCATTTTTATTGAAATTAAGATGAAAATTGGCACAAATATAAATTTTCGTGCTCCCAACAAAGTGATATACAAAAAGGTTTGTTGATTTTGAGTCTTTTTAGGAGGGGGTTCAGATCTCACAAAAAAAGTACACCTTTGGGATTTGGATCAATTACTTGGCCTCATTTTGACCAACTTACATGGGATTTGATACAAAGTTACTAATCTACAGGTCCCACACGTTGACAAACAAAATGATGAACTTGTTGATTTTGAGTAATTATAGGGGGTCGATATGACACAAATATCATAATTTTATGTTGTTGTTTTTACAACTACTCCTCCGTATACTTTTTTTACATATACATATATATATGTGGGATATTTTCATTTTTAGTCATTTCAGAGGGTCAAAACGTTAAGTAAACCCATAACTTTAGGGGTTTTGGTCAATTGGGATGATCGTGTATGTTACTCAACGTACATGTGATTTGGTAAAAAGATACCTTCTTGTAGGTTCAAAGCAGTGATTTAGACAGTTTTTGATTTTTCTGTGTTGTCACAATAGGTCATGTTGGGATTGCGTGACGGAGACATGTTGCATTAGCCCGTGAACTTTAGTCTCTTTAGTTTGAAATTAGTCCACATTTCTCATTCCTAAGACATATCCACACAAATAAATAATTCATTTGAACTTAATTTATTTTAAAGCGATATCGGAAATTTATGATGAAAATGTTTAGGGTGTTTAAATACATATGTATACATATAATCTTATGATTTCATTACTAATTTTACATATCAAATTTTAACAGAATACTCCTAGTACGCCCGAATCTAAACATATTATGGGTTTAAAAAGGAAATAAGATAGAATATGCTTGTATTTTTAATATGCATATAAAAAGAGTGATTACTGGTGTTTCAGAATACTGTTGTGTCTTAGGGTTGTTCCTTATTGGATTAAAAAACAGTTGGTGTTAAAAGTGATATTAAACAAATATTTCATAACTTGCTCAGAACAATCCTACAAAATGATTTTCCAGAATGATATAAAAATACTTTGAAAGATATACAATGAAAACACAGCTCATAGCAGATACGGATATAATTAGTTTTCGTTTTTGTTTCAAATTAAAACAGCAACAGCGTATTATAAATTTCTTTTTTTAACCAGAAAGATATAATAGTTTCGCCAACAATTCCTGACAACGAATAATTACTCAATACCTTCAAACTTGATATGTTTCTATACAGCTTATCGAAGGTGTTAACTGAAGCTTAACTCCAGAAGCACGTAGATCCGTTAATGTCAGCAGAGATTTTGTAAAGAGAAAAATTAGAGACTATATACTTCAATAAGGCATCATTCTTTTGGGCTTATTGAGCTTCATTTCACGAGCATAATAATTTTTTCATAGTATTAGATTGTAGCCACCATAAAGATGTTTTTTTTTATTGATGTAACAATTCATCATAAAATATTAAAAACATCCCTTTTATTTTATACTTGACTTTGTAGATACACTAAAACTTTGTGGATAACATGACTATTTTAATACAAGGAAGCACATTCAAAATACACAAAATATATTCAATGTTGTTAGAGAAAAAAGCAATTTCTAGTACTTGCGAGCTTTGCTTTATTTATCTAAGTTTAATAACATCTTGAAAACTTGTTTCCTTAAAATCTAATTAAACGCTTGTAAATAATTAGAAATTAATATTATATTAAACTTGTCAACGGTAGTTTGGGTGAAGTAAAAAAAGAGTAATGTTTATTTTTTCAAAATTATCTATTTAAACTTCGAAAAAAGGGGGGAATTTCCATTTATATTTTGCTTTTCAGAAAATGGAAGCAGGAACTTAGATCAAACATATATTTTATACAATTTGCTTTATCCAATGTTACATGTGCAAATGTCCATTATATGAGCATGTGTAGAATCCGAAGAAGGGAACTGAGGCAATGGAACTTATAAATTGGTATATAAATGTAGATAAACATAATAGGTGCCTGTAATAGAACTGAGATTCGCAACAAATTTTTGTAGAAATTATTTTGTTATCGCAATTCTATTAATTAATTAATTTCGAATTTCAAATCAAAGGTGTATAAAATAAGATTTAACATTTATCTTTTCTGGTATATAATAACAATACAGTGTATTTTACTTGCAATTTTGATATCAGTCTGATCACGCAAGTACTAAAGTTTGATTTTGTAATAAATATATATGTATGTTTGTATGTATATTTCCTTCGTGAAAGGATTAAACTTTGCTTTGGCTTGAACGTGTCATTGGGATATTTAGGCTAGGCTGCCATCTTTTAGGCATTATTGTAACTAGAGTTTTATTTTTAAATTTGAAAACCAATATATTTATTTGTTGAAAACTATTGCCTTTATTGTTATAATTCATAGACTTGAAATTAAAAACGCGTTTTTATTTCGGCAATGGAACGCGAACTAAAATCCTCTGATTCATAATTCTGGTGGGCTAACCATTAAACCACGCGCAGCCCTTCATTTACGAGAAAGCAATGTAAAAGAAAGAGAAATGATTATGCCCTCGTTTTTTCCTCACTTCCTGCAAAAAAAAAAACAATCAGTATTTAGATGTTCCTGTTTCTGTCTTGCATATTTAGTTTTATATGTAAATCACAGTTCAATGAATTTCAAGTTGAACCGTTAAAACTTAACATTACCATAATAATTAATATACCTGCACTCTATTGCTAATTGAAATGATTCACTAGTTTGTTTGATTGCTTTAAAGAAAGCTACATTGGGCAATCTGCTGTGTCCACCACGGGAAATCGAACCACGGATTTTAGCGTTATAAGTCCGTAAACTTACCGATTGCCCAACGGGGTACAGCAACATTGGAATTTTAGAACCTAAACGTTACAAATAAAATATAAATATATGTTTCTAACAAACGAAAGTCTTTTTCTTATCTTACACTTTTCATCAAATAAAGAGTAAAGACTGGAATCAGTTAAGAAGTCTTGAGTATTAGCTAAGTCACAAAATGCCAACTTGAGTGCTTGCAGCTATTCGGTATACAATTGGCGGTTCTTAACAGTTCTGTACCTTATAAGATTTGGCATTGATATAGATGGAGTTTTATAGTGTTTTAGAAAACTAAATATATAATTAACCGTACAGGCGACAAAGATATCGAAATTAAAGAATAGGTTAAACAATCGCTAAGTTTCTTTTTATATTTTAAGAGTTTGAAGTTATAAACTGTACGATCTGAAATTATTGTAAAAAGTAAAAAATATATAAAAAATAGCGATTGTTTAACCTATTCTTTAATGTTTATAGTGTTGTAGTTTAAAAGTTACCTATAATAATGACAAGGAGATAGATGTCACACGTTGACTCACTTATTACTATATGTCGTGTTACTATCAGTGGTAGTTTTGTTTTAATTCTGGCGATGAAATAATAAAAAACGGCGCCATTGTAATGCATGGTATTACAGCATGGATTATTTGAAGATATTTAAGACATAAAAAAATAAATTGAAACAAGTTTAAGTATCAGCTTCAAACACATCTCGTTAAGTTTTCTAGGAATTATTTATGAAATTACTTTGTAATATCCATCTTACAAATACACCGTTAATATAATCGTATCACTTCATAAAGGAAACAATAAAAGATTCTCCAAAATGCTAATATGATACTGTTGAGGGAGACAGGTTTGAGATTAGATTGAGATCTTTGTGCTTTACTCGTCCACGTTTACCTATATTTTACAATTACAGTATTTCATTATAAAATGTAAAACTTTGTTTCATGTAAAGATATACAAACCATTTAGAACATGAACCGCTATTTCAGCGGGATCAGCATTCGAAGGAAAACAGGAGTAGTTCCCTGAATTAGAAGATTGAGCTTTCTCTATCCAAAGCGTACTGGTAGCTGTGGGATTCATCTGAGTTTTCACTTCAACACCCTTGTGGGCCTCGTAGTTGATCACTTGATTGTTGTGGTACCAAAACACGTAGTCAGGAGGTACAGGACTTTCTTGAATTATACAAGTCAAGTTGATAGCGCTGTCGGTGTTGATATAGATCGTAGGACCTCCTAAAATTTCAGCTTTACTTACTATGAAAAGAAGAAAAAGAATAAAATGAGTGAGAAACCATTCTTAAAGTTCACTATATCGTTAGTTCGAATCCCCGTCCCAATAAACATACTCGCCCTTTCAGCCGTGGGGGCATTATAATGTGACGGTCAATTCCACTATTCGTTGGTAAAAGAGTTGGCGGTGGGTGGTGATGACTAGTTGCATTCCCTCTAGTCTTACACTGCTAAATTAGGGACGGCTAGCGCAGATAGCCCTCGTGTAGCTTTGCGCGGAATTAAAAAACAAACAAACAAGCTATTAGTGAGGTACCAAACACAATTTGAGTGTTAATTTTCTTCAGAGTTTATACAAATAATAAATTTCACTGTTTATTTCCAGAAAATAATCACCTAAGTACAGTATTGCACACTGTAAAATAAGCCTGCCTGTTGTTTCAGTTTATCCTACTTGGGTTAAAGTTTTACTTTTCTGTGTGCAAATTATAAGGTTGTGTGGTTTATGTGTCCACATTACATCTTAGTGTAAACTAGAGAATGGAGCTTTGGAGAGGCTAAGGTATGTGACAGACTGTGGTACCAACCTGTTTTTCATTAAAAAAACGTCTATCCTCACTTAATATCGTACAGTGAACTAAATGACTATTAATCTATTGCACCTTTCAGTGATAAAACTGCAAATTTCGCATACAAATTGACATTCCCCAATCAATGACTCAAGAAACTCAAGAAGTTGTAAGCATCTAGGTCTTCTTTGCTACTGCATTAATAGATTGCAATGACCAAATATCATTCGTTAAAGTTCAAACAATTTTCAAGATGTCCTAACATAAGTTTTCAAAAGAACACGAAAAAGTTTCATTTTGGTTGGTTGCTCTTTCTGTTGTCTAGAATTTGAACTCTATCTTTAATAAAGAAACAATGATTGTTAGTAAACCTTTAAACAATATCTTTATTTCTTTCCAACCGTGCCGCACATTTAATGGGTGAGTTACCTAGTAACTTTGGTCATTCCATTCATCCCTACGTCCATTTGGAAATTATTCCATCTTACTCTTCACCACATTGATGATCCTCTTTGTCAGCCCATGTGACTAGGGGTAATATGGTGGTGTTTTAATTTTCTGTACTTTCAATCATTGGTAAAATTTTTAAGTAACTGACTAACAAATTCAACTTTGTGTAAATTCTTTGATGGTAACTCGAACCCAATTGATGAAGCTATTAGTGAGGGGCCGGCATGGCCAGGTGGATAAGGCGCTCGACTCGCAATCTGAGGGTCGCGGGGCACCCTCAATAGGTCATCAGAATATTATACCATACAATACTGTACAATGTTTCCTTTTATAACAATATCTATTTAATGACTGAGTCAGAACTTCTGGGAATGTATGTGAATATCATAGCAAAACGTTTGAATTTGTAATAAATAATCAAAACTGCAGAAAATGATTATTTATTAGGAATTAAAGAGACATTGGCCATTAGAAATCTAAATCCGCAACCAACTAAATAAACAGACTAGTACTGGGGAGTTTTTGTTGAATGTCAGAGTGCCTGATAATGATAATAACATATATACTAATATTAATCTATCAAATTACTCACGAAAAGATCCAGAAAAATAACTTAAGGCGACAATTCCTGAACAAAAACAAAGAACAATTGTGATCAACGCTTTAGGAAGCCAATGAACTCAAGAATGGTATATTGATTCCTTTACCCTGAAGGTACATCAGTTCTAATGAGACATAATCAGATTTTGTGAACTTTGTTCAATTTGCTAAAAAAAAAGATAGAACCGCTAATTATTTACGTTCAAATGAAAGACCAAAAACCAAAGTAATTCACAGTCTCTATAGGAAGCGAGGTGTTATTTGAAAGAAAGGACTACTTACTATTAGAAATGAGACACGCTGATCAAATCTACAGAAATCGTCTTGTAATATTTATTGAACATTATATTTGTTTGTTAAGAAATATAATAAAAAAACTTAAAACTGAAGAGATCCATAATAATCAACCATGCAAGAAGCAGTTACTTTTATTTATCACTGGGATTTGAATGGAATTGAAAGGTGAAAAAATGTACCTATTGAGCAAAGGAAAGAACAATTTTACTAGAAAGTAAAATATTCAATTAACTTATTGCTTAAAATTATTTCAACTAGAATACAAAAACAATTTACTAACACTTTAGGAAAAGAAAATTTTAAGCATAAGAGATATATAAAAGTCTTATAAGGATTTTAAGTGTTCTTTTGTGCACATTTAATGAGTTGGCAACATTCAATGTACATTTCTATGTCAGGTTAAAAACAAAAATTTAAAATCAAAACATTTGAATGGTGACAACTCTTGTCTTACTTATGTATTACATCTAAATAAATTAATACGTTTTCTTGTTTTTCTATATTTCGTGGTTTTAGGGAAATAGATGCATCACGTAAAAACATGAATTAGCATAGACATTCCTACCGAATATTTCCCTCCATTATGCCATCATACATCTTAGGACATTACGATTTTTATAAACAAATATTAACGAAGATGACGGTAGTTGCCGCCGAAATATCTGACTGTTTGTTTGAAATTGGTGTTTTTAACTTAAGATGCTAGATCAGCATGTTCACAATTTTCACAAATATCTGTTATCCGATCTCTCACGGTTTTATTACAGAATGCATATATACTTTTAATCATGCATTTCAGCGAAGTAAGAGAATAATGATTGACAAGAAAGGAAAAAAAAAAGTTCAAAATTTAAGAAAAGTATCGTTTACACATTAAAAAGTCCTAACATTTTTGCAGTTGGTTTGTAATTACTTTGTTGGTAAATATAATTTTGAAATAATTTTCATTATATTACAAATGTTGAACTACTATATTCACGATCTGTGAAAATTTCCTATTTCAGGTACCCTACAGTGGCACAGCGGTATGTATGCGGACTTAGAACGCTAGCATACGGGTTTCGATACCCGTGGTGGACAGAGCACAGATAGCCCATTTTGTAGCTTTGTGCTCAGTTACAAACAAAAACAAAACCTATTTCAGTTAATACACTATTTAATATATTTACGGAATGCTGATAAAATGGAATCTGTTTTTTCACACAGTCTTATTATGAAATTTAGTGATTTTTTCCTTCATATCTGTGATAACATGTATCGTAAATATTATATTTACAGTATTAATTAACTAATTTTCATAATTATATTAAATCTGATATATATCTATTGTTAGCATTATTATTTATGTATTCGTATAAAATCCAGTATAACATAGTATATATAATGCACAAATTATACCACCACATCTGAACAGAATGTTCTACATAATGAAATAGTATTCAAAAATTATGAATTGTAAAATGAAATAGGGATCTTGCCACAAAATGTAATGAAACAAGAATTACAACTATAATCACAAATGTAGAAAAGGTAATCTTTACTTTGGTCTACAGACAAGTGTATAAAGTTGCCAAAGTAGGGAATATATTTTATAAATTTGTAATTATGGTTTTAATTCTTCTTTCATTACTTTTTGTAGCAGGATACCTACTTCATTTTAAAAATCATAATTTTTAATACCCTTGTTTCTTTGCGTTTTATGTTATACCTGTTTAAAGTATATAATTTAGCTTTAGAAACCGCCACGTGTATATCCGTCGATATGTAGTTCCATCTGTTGGGTTAAATTGGGTTTAAAAGATAATTAAGAATGTGCGTGATGTGTTTACTGTTTATAAAAAGTCTGTATATATTAATTGAAGTATCAAAAGCGGATGCTCACAGACCAGTCAAGTAAGCTGGAGAAATATTGTAGCGATAGATCGAGCCGTCTAGGGACTAGCCCCGCTGACGTGATCAGGTAAGTAGGTAGGTAGGTTGTAAATTAAAAACGTTGCGGTTTTAGAAATTTTTGAATTGTTATACAGGAAATGTTAACGACCTTTTTAGAGTATTATTAGGATATATGCGCATAATATATCGTAACCAGTACTTTGTATGGTCGGTTTTTTGCTTAGAAATTTAATAGGATGGTTTTTTGGCGCATGAATTATTTGGAATCATTGTCAAACCCTACTATTAAATACTACCGTACTTAATAATAATGCCATGCAGAAAAAAGTACAGATCCTGTATTGTTAATAAGAAGAGCAATCTTTATGTATGTAGTCATATTAGAACAAAATAATAACAAAGAGAGAACGTTTTCAGAAGATGATATGTTAGATTGATGTAGAATGCATGTTTACAGTGCCAAGTACATTAAAGGATAAATAAAAACCATAAAGTGTAATATAAAAATATGTGATGGAGAACACAACAAAATGTAACATATATTGTTATAGATGTGGTTGGTGAAAATCTTCCTCGTAAAACATTCATACATCAGGTCACGTGTGTCGATATTGAAATCCGAGAAACGTGACCATTACATAACGGTTCCATTTTTTTAAAAGCTTTCTATGTTGTTAAGGAGGATAAGCTGACGTGAAAGAGATTTATCTAATTTACAGAATAATATACGATTGGTTTTAATCACGCGAATTTTCCAAAATGCTTGGTTATCCTGACTATATTTATATATTTACAATTAACCACTTAACTGGTAGCAACAGAAAAACTGTTTTCGCAAGATTAGATACGTGTTAAGCATTAAAATATAAAAAAAACGTATTTATAAAAGTCCAAGAATGTATTTTTATTTAGTTGCTTGTTTATAGCAAAGCTACTAATACTATCGATCGCTATCCCCAATTTTGAACTGCCAACCAGAGAAGAATAAATTAGCAAGTAGCATCAATCGCGAACATTTTGGCTACCCTATACCAACAAATAGTGGTATTAATCGTCAAATTATAATGCTCCCTGGGCTGAAAAGGTTTGTTTGTTTTGAATTTCGCGCAAAGCTACACGAGGGCTATCTGCGCTAGCCATCCCTAATTTAGCAGTGAAAGACTAGAGAGAAGGCCGCTAGTCATCACTACCCACCACCAACTCTTAGGCTACTCT